TTTTTGACGCGGGTCTTACCCCGTGTTGAGATTGCGCTGGAACCCCCATTCCCTATACTACTATTGGTTGTCCAAAACCTTCTATCCTCTAGTGTATAGAATGGAAGACCAAAAGAGCATTTCGACAACGTTGCAGGAGATGGGTATACATGCAAAGAGTAGACTGCTAGCACATCTGCTTTTGGACAATGCAAACGATGGAAACCTCTTGTCCGATATATCCCAATGCCAGTATTTGGAAGGAAACGAAGGACCAACTAGCCTACAACCTCTTTCTGGGCTTCCTCCCTTCGTAGACGATGTATTTGTCTATGGCTTTGTTTCCGAAGAGAATTTGTATGGAAAGAAGCTACTGTGTAGGAATGCAAAGGCAATAGTATCGAAAATATCCACTGCAGCTACGGAAACATTTGGCATGTTTTTGCCAACTAGTCTGGTACACACCTGCAGAAATGGGAACATAGTACGGAACATTGCCAAGATAGATTCTGGATACAGATGGAGTAGCATACACGGCGTAGAGCCTGCCGGATACTTCGTAGCCAACGTAGATGCCTCCGAGCTTCCTATAGAAGTGGTAGACCAAAAGATTTCCAAATTTGGATCCCTACTACGTGCCCACGGATATGGAATATACTCCATAGACAACACGCAAGACTTCTCCGGAACTTTGGATAGGGCGGCATTGGTACGTCGTTTGCAGGAGCTGGGATACGTACTACAGCATAGTAGCGGTTGGCGCAATGGCACGATATTGGAAAATACGCATACTGTTGGAGAACACGTATGTACTTGGATGGAAGATGGAAAGAGGACGAAGATATACAACAAGATAGTCTCCAACTTCGAAGCCGGAGAAGTGCAAAACCCAGTAGGTGCAAAGCTTGCAGAGTATGTAGACTGTCCAAACGAGCATCTTCGAAAGACATTCCTGCACCCAGATGTGCAAGCAAGAGGATGCACAAGGGTAGAAATATCCATCTACGGCAAAGGCTTCTCCAAAAAAAACACCAATACTATTGCACAAACAATAGAACCCCTACAGGATAAATTTGTTGTGCAGCCACCCAAAAACATGTGGCTTGCTCTTGCAAAGTGTTTGGATAGGTCTGTTTGTATTTGCTGCGAAGAAACACAAGAGATATTCCTTGCTTGGTACTGCAATGTGGCAACTGGACGTATAGCAGGAGTACGAGTGCGAGGAAACGAGAAGTGGGAAGAGTGTGTACTTTAGACATTAGCAGAGTTCGGCCTTCGTCGTTGTCCAATCTTTCGCATAGATGTCCTTGGGATGGATCCAGTAGAAATAGCTCCTTTGCGTTGCTACACCAAAGACTCTCCTACAATATTGGCAGCGTCCAAGTTTCCTACCCGCGTACACAAGGATTCCCCTACCATCGCAGAAATGCTACCCCCCACGGAACATGTAGAATGGGTTTGGCGAACAAAGAAAGCACAAAAGATAGGTGTGGACAAAAGCTCCTTTGGCATACTAGAAGTACCTTCCAATAGAAAGATATCTTTCCTGTCCAAGAGAAGACGCATCCTACTGTTGGAGGACATAGCAGATAGCCTGGAAGTGGACGAGTGGGTAGAGGCTATGAAGATATACCATTCCGAGCTACTGGAAAGAAAGGACAACATCCTGCAAAAGAAGGAAGAGGACAGGAAGGCCTTGGAAGAAGCATTGGCAAAGCATACGAAAGTCGTAGAAAGAATGGGAAGGAGAACAGACAATCTGCGGAAGCTGTTCTTTGGCGAGGACGACCATAAACCAAAGGTGCACAGAATGCAAGAAATACCTCCAGGAGAGTACAAGATACTGGGATACATAGTACCAAGGCAAATAGATCATGCTTGGCCAGCAAGAGGACACCGCGTAGTGCTACGTGGAGAGAAAATATATGTAGCCTGCAAAGTCGGAAAGTTCGAAGAACGGTACAAAATACACACGGCCATACCAGGGGAAGAGGAGATGTGCAGCGAGTGTGTATTGGAAGGCTGCACAAAAGAACATACTACGACTCCTGTTTAGGGACACTTCCTAGAAGAAGAAGTACAAAAAATAGATTGGAGCAAACCCCCGCCTTTATATTGCAAAATAGGCAGGGAGAAGACTACCAAAAGCAAAAGGAAGGATAGGATAGTACATATCTCTCTTCCATCTGTGGAATCTTAGACTTTGGCTTGGTTTCCCTGGGTTCCTCCTTGGGAGGTGTGTAGTAGCATGCCTTGGGAGGCTCCTTTTTGGATAGCCACACACAACATCAGCCTCTTCAAGACCCCAATGACTGTATCCAGAGACTGTTCCCCATCGACCATGGTAGAAAGCCTCTACTCGATCTTCTGTATTGTTGGTGTTATCTGAACCTACAACCAGGCGAACAGCGACTGTATCCATGAAACAAAGATGTTATAAGAGAAGCATCTGAAATAGATGATGAAATTTTATCGCTATCTAATAATAAAGCTTATGGTCTATACTCCTGCCCAGTTAATTTTTTAAAAGCATCTAAACCGTTTCTCAGTGAACATCTTGCGAAACTGATGAACTTATCTGTGCAAACAGGTAGATATCCGACAAAACGTAAGATCTCCAAAATTTGTCCTATTTATAAATCGGAGGATGATACAGACCCTAGTAACTACAGACCTATATCACTTCTCTCCGTGTTTAACAGAATCTTTGAAAATACAATGTATAATAGATTAATTACATTCATTCATACATAAACATCATATTCTCTCTGACATGCAGTATGGCTTTAGGAAAAATCACTCCACACAACATACACTTCTTGATATAATTAGTACAATACAACATAATATGGACAACAAAATATACACATGTGCAGTTTTCATTGATTTAGCGAAAGCATTCGATACTGTTGACCATTCCATTCTC